GCTCCACCCAGGCCGGCTGCAGCCGCAGGGGACTGTGAGCGGGTGGCTTTGCCTGGGCCGCAGCCGCAGGTGCCCGGGACTGCAGGGCGGGCAGCTTCTTGTTCCTCTCCTGGGCCGCAAGCGCAGCCGCTGGCACCCAGGACCATGGGACAGGTGTCTTGTCCCTCTCCCGGGCCGTAGCCTGGCTGGTCCCCATTCCTCTCTCGCAAGCTCATTTGTGCCTGGCTGGTCCCCATTCCTCTCGCAAGCTCATTTGTGCCTAGCTGGTCCCCATTCCTCTCTCCCCAGTGTTGAGTGTCTGAGCTGTTACAGTGTGAGGGCATGATGACCATTTGCATATTAGCTCTTTGTTATATAGGACTGGAGACCTGGTGCACGAATTCGTACACCAGTGGGGTCCCTCGGCCTGGCCTGCAGAATCGGGTCAAAACCGGCTCTCCGACATCCTCTGAGGGGTCCCAGATTTCGAGAGGGCGCAGGTCAGGCCAAGGGACCCCACCGGAGCATGATCGGGGCCGGGGAGGGATGCGGGAGGTTGGCCAGCCGGGGAGGAACTGCGGGGGGTCTCCAGGGCATGTCCGGCCTGTCTCTCTCAGTCCAGATTGGTCAGATCTCAGCAGCAAGCTAACCTACCAGTTGGAGCATCTTCCCCCTGGTGGTCAGTGCATGTCATAGCGACTGGTTTACTGTCTGCCCCTGGTGGTCAGTGTATGTGATAGCGACTGGTTTACTGTCTGCCCCCGGGTGGTCAGTGCACATTATAGTGAGTGGTTGAGGGGCCTTAGCATATCATTAGCATATTACGCTTTGGTTGAACGGCCGACCAGTTGACCGGACACTTAGCATATTAGTCTTTTATTATATAGGATTCTGACTTGAGTATGGTTTCTTGGTTTCTGTCTTTGGTTGACTGTGCAATAACTTAGAGTAATTAGGCTTTATTATTTCAGCAAATTTCTCATAACGACTGTATTATAGTAACTATCTATTGCTGCCCAACGAATTATCCCAAAACTTAGCAGCTTAAAACAACCAACATTGCCCAGACATCATGGCTCAGTGGTTGAGCGTCGACCTATGAACCAGGAGGTCGTGGTTCGATTCCTGGTCAGGGCACGTGCCCAGGTTGCAGGCTCAATCCCCAGTGTGGGGCATACAGGAGGCAGCCAATCAATGATTCTCTCTCATCATTGATATTTCTATCTAGCTCTCCCTCTCCCTTCCTCTCTGAAATCAATAAAAATATATTTTAAAAAGAACAACACACACACAAAAAAACATTTTCTGAGGTTCGAGAATCCACCAGGGGCTTAGCTTGGATGGTTCTAATTTAGGATGATAATCAGTTGTGGTTAAGATGTCTGTTAAGCTACAGTCACCTGAAAACGTCCCTTGGGCTGGTGCATCCATCCATGACCAAGGCGACTAACTCACATGGCTGTTGGCACAGGAACCTCTCTGTGAGGCTACTTGAGTGTCATTGTGACATGTAAGCTGGCTTCCCTTAGAGTATTTCAAGAAGTCACATTCTGTTGTTTCCATTTGACTTCTTAGAAGTGGGAATTCAGGGGAGGGAAGCAGGCTTCACCTTTTGAAGGTAGTATCAGCATTTTGGACATATATTTGATCATACGATGATCTTTCAGTAGATTTTTTTTTAACTGTGAAAAAAATACCTATTGTGAACTGTAGTTTGTATTCCAGATATCGTAATATAAACTCCAATAACATTGTCATGATGGATCCTGGACCGTGACTTTATTTTATCGGTGAATTTCATATGAATAGAACGCTGGTGTTCTGGGCCCTTTTCCTTTTCATTCTTAGAAGGTCATCTCGTAGAGTCACAGCTGTACATATCTTCATGCTGTTGTCATAACAGACTTATCTCTTTGGTTCCAGATGTTTCCTTTAAGCTTCAGAACCAAATGCCTCGTAGAAATTCCCTTCGGTCTTAAAATGGAACCCTGATCTCTTCTCTGAAAATCCACTTGTCCCCACTTCAGTTAATTGCTCATGCCAGATCTTCTTTGACCCCCACTTCCCCACATCTGATCCATTGCCAAGTCCTATTGAGTCTATTTGTGAAGCATATTGTGAATTCAGCCACTGCACCTCCACCACCTTAATCTTAACTACCATCACCCCTCTCCGAAACTCCTCCAGTGTCCTTACTGATGTGTTCACTTCTGCTGTTGTCCTCTCCAGTCCAGGACACGAAACCAGATCATTGTCTTCCCATCCACTTAGATTTAAATTCCGACTCCTTCCTACGATCTTGCCTGACCTGGTTCTTGCTTTTGTTTCTTCACCCTCATCTCCCACCACACTACCCCTTATTCAGAACATTTTAGAAACATTGCTCTTTGTTGTTCCCTGCCTCAAGATTTTGCACAGGCTGTTCCTTATGCCTAAGCCCTTCTTCCCTCACCCCCTTTCTTTTAACCTGGCTAGCTCTTATTCTTCAGATCTCAACTTAAGTGTCACTTCCCTTGCATACTCGATCAGTGCCTCTTGTCTCTCCAGAACCTAGCACCAGAAATGGTATCATTTGTATTGTCTTGTTTAATGACTATGAATTCTGTAAGGCTGGGTCTGTTTTGCTTTCATCACTATATTCTTGGTGGCTAACACAGAATCATGCACATAATAGGCACTTTAATAAATAATTAGTAAGTAAATTAATATTCAATAGCAAGACTACTGTTCATGCAGGATTTCAGAGTTGGAAGGACTCTGATGAATCATTTAATTAGTCTAGTCTCGTTTCCATCGTGCCTGCCATGTCCTTGATAACTTTGATATTCTGACCAGTTCGTTCAGTTGTCTCTCGGGTGTCGTAATTTTTCTATCCTTTGCATCCCTGTCATTCTTCTCTAAAGTTTTGAAGAGGCGTGACCAAGTGGTACGAAGGGAGATCTTGCTTGCTCTCTGATTATAGCACTGTGCTTCAGGCAGCAGGCGATAAAATTGTCTTAATGTTAATCAGCTTAACAATAACCCACAATCGTTGGACCAACTAAACGTTTGTACAGACTGGATCAATTGTTTTCTGGACATTTTTGATAAATTATTGAATTATGATGTAGTTACACTGATGATATTAGTATGCCTGAAACAACGGGGCTGTAAAATATTCATCTTGGTAATTTGAGTTATTTAAATAAATGAACTGTGCCCTAGCCGGTTTGGCTCAGTGGATAGAGTGTCGTCCTGCGGACTGAAGGGTCCCGTGTTCGATTCTGGTCAAGGGCATGTACCTTGGTTTCGGGCACATCCCCACTAGGAGGTGTGCAGGAGGCAGCTGATTGATGTTTCTAACTTTCTATTCCTCTCCCTTCCTCTCTGTAAAAAATCAATAAAATATATTTTTTTAAAATAAAAATAAATAAATAAATGAACTGTATTAAAAAATAAAATAAAAAGATTGCCTTAATGTCTCAGCAGTTGTCTCAGGTGCTGATGTGGAGAGAGCTTATAACCGCAACATTTTAAAGATAGGGATTTCCATTGTTAGGTTACAAATGAGGTATTTGAAGCCATTCTATCTTTAGCCTGTCCTTGGCTGATAGCTGTTCTCCATATAAGTTATTATAGGTGTTTTGTCTATAAAAATGTCTTGTAGACGGGATTGTCCTGAATAGCACCTGTTACTGCCTGTGCCCTGTTGGCAAGTGTGTTATAAACATGTATGTGAGGAGGAAACTTATATTGAGCACCTACTCTGTACCACCCTCCAAAATACTTTATAATGTATAGTTTACATTACATTATGTACATAAAATATCCAGCAGGCAGTCAGTATAGGGTAGCAGTTAACACCTGGACTCTGGGATCAGATCTTCTTGATTAGATTTATAGTCCTGCCACTTACCAGCTGTGTGGTCTTTGATAAATTTCTTATAGTTTACTTGCCTCGATTTCCTCATATGTAATGTACCTATCTTATAAGGTAGTTGGGATGAATTGATAAATTAATATTAATGTATTCAAAGCATTTATAATGGTGCTGATGCAGAGTTACCGGTGACTATGTGTTAGCTATTCTCATTTAGTTCTCAAAATAATTGGGAGTTAATAATATAATTCCAGTTTTACAGATGAGGAAACTAACCAGAGAGGTTAGGTTACTTCTTTAAGGCAGATCCAGGCTTTGAGGTGCCCAGAGTAGCAGAGTCACAGATGGTTATGTGGGAGGAACCACACATAATCCCTTTGCTCTGGAAGGTGCTTAGAGTCTTGTGGAGCACCCTACAAGATGTCTTGGTTGTACCTTTGATGAGATTAAGACCACCGTGTTAAGTTTCAATAAATTGATGAAGAAACTGACACTGAAAGATGGAATTAATCATAGCAATCCATTTTCTCCCTAAGACTGAGCTTCTTGGAGCAGAAACTGTCATGCTCATATTTGTTTTTCCACCACCTTATACTTATGGGTAATATGTACTCAAAAAATGCTGTTGGTGAATGAGTGAGTGCATGAATAAATAAGGAACAGTGTCATGAGGGTGTGAGAGCTAGAGCTGGTGAGGGAGGCAGAAAGCATCCAAGGGTTTTGGCTTGGGTGACTGGACAGAGAGCTCCACCCTGCTCTGTGCTAGCAAGTGGAGGAGGAGGAGGAGGAGCAGGCCTAGGGGAGTGAGAAGGAAAGTTAGGAGTTTGATTTAGACAGGTGGAGTATAATCCTAGCAGAGATAGTTATAGGCACATAGAAATAGAGAGACAACAGAGTTGGAAACACATTGGAAACTTGTTTTGAATTTGGAACCTGGAACAAGTCTTATAATGTCAGATTTTCCTGAGAAATGCTGCTGTCACATTGCAGGTGTTATTCTGTAATTATTTCAGACTTTGCATCTTACTCTCTCAGAACTATATAGATGGGAAGCAAATTAATTTCCTAGTAGAGAAGTGAGAAATTGCAGAGGTTTTAGAACTAAGCTGCATATAAAATGTGCAGTATAAGTGACATCTCATTGTAAACCTTATTTCCTCAGTACTGGGAGTGCCTTTGGAGAGCTGGTAAAAGTGGAAAATTATCAGGTGGGTAAAGTAGAAAGCTCAAGTTATTTATAGTAGAAATGATACCAGGGTTAATTGTGTCATCAATAAAGTCTTATTCATTCTATAATTCAGGCTGAAGTCAATAAAATCAAATTGCCTGAACCAATAGGATGGGAGCAAAACAGAATTAGGTTCATCTTTATACAAACTAGCCTTTTTTTCTGTTACCTGTTTAAATATTTTACAGTTGCTGAAAACCTTAATTGGAGAGGTTTTGTTTCACATCATCCATATTAAAAACTCAATTTTATTCTAGCAAAGTCATATTTGCCATATTTTAGGAAAATAATTTTATTTAAGGTACATTTCTATTGGTTTTACTTTCATGATAGAGCACACGGCATATTTAAATGTGTGATTTTCTAGGTGGGCTTTCGCTTCTATCTATAGAATACATTATTTACTAGAAAGGTTCAAGACATTTTTATCACATCTACTAGGATTTGAAAGATTATTAATGAAGAGTGTAGTATTTTAAATTCAACTTTTCCTGTTTATTCCTAAATAACTTAATTACTTTAGAGTATCCAGAAAAGACTATTGAGATTATTTAGTGTGTTTATTTGTTTACATATTGTAATCTAAGGTCAGAGCGGTGATTACCCATTACTAAATTATCTAAGCTTTTACATTACAATACCCTTTTTAAAAAGCTAAGGTAGCTTCAGTCTTTAAAAATATATTTCATTATTTCAAGTTATGTTTGGGCCTGGCTGCGTGGCTCAGCGGTTGAGCGTAGACCTATGAACCAGGAGGTCACCGTTCCATTCCTGGTCAGGGCGCATGCCTGGGTTGTGGGCTCGATCCCCAGTGGGGGGCGTGCAGGAGGCAGCCAATCAATAATTTTCTCTCATCCTTGATGTTTCTATCTCTTCCTCCCTCTCCCTTCCTCTCTGAAATCAATAAAAACATATTTAAAAAAATAAAGTTACATTTGGGCATTTGTTTTCTCTCTTTGTTTTTAAAAACTTTTTAGAATTCAGTCATATTTATTACCTTTTTCATATTTTTATCTTCCAGGAGTCAGAAGAAAGCAGTGGAAATTGGAGTCATTGTAAAGCCATTGAAACCTTTTACAAGAAAATCTCAGTGAATAAAAGTTGTTTAAATTAGTGACATAACAAAACCAGTTATTAAGGTGACAGTGTACAGGAAAGAAACGTTAAAATTGAACAATGACTCAGCTATATGTTTATGTCACATTATTGGGAGCCTATCTGTCCGTCGTTTCTCATGTTCAAGGTAAACCATTGTTCATTTAAGCAATCTTACTATCTTTTTACATAATTTCTTTCTGTATATAAAAAAGCATTTATTCCTGCAACTGTTCCGGCTCCTGATCCTTTTTTGAACAGATAGGTCCAGTATAGCAGCATAAATTTTAAGTAAAGAGGCAAAGAACACGTTTCTCAAATAACTTTTGAACTTGACTATGATAGAAACATTTTCAGTATGTGTAAAATCTCAGCCTTTCTGAACTGTTCTGTTATTCATAACGTAGGCATTGTGATACGTAACGTCAGGTCTTGTGAGGATTAAGTGAGATAAAGTATAAAATAAAGTAACTAACCTAGTGCATGAGGTTCAGGGTAATAGGTACTTAAGACTTAGTTTAGCCCAGCTGATGTGGCTCAGTGGTTGAGCTTGGACCCATGAACCAGAAAATTCCTGGTCAGAGCACATGCCTGCGTTTTGGTCTCCATCCCCAGTGGGGGGCATGCAGGAAGCAGCCAATTGATATTTCTCATCGATATTTCTATCTCTGTATCCCTCTCCCTTCCTCTCTCTCTAAAAAAGCAATAAAAACATTTTTTTAAAAAAGACTTAGTTCAAAATCCCTGTCTCCTTTAAAATACAATAAGGAGCCCTGACCAGTTTGGCTCAGTGGCTAGAGCGTCGGCCTGTGGACTGAAGGGTCCCAGGTTCGATTCCGGTCAAGGGCATGTACCTGGGTTGTGGGCACATCCCCAGTGGGAGGTGTGCAGGAGGCAGCTGATCCATGTTTCTCTCTCATGGATGTTTCTAACTCTCTATCCCTCTCCCTTCCTCTCTGTAAAAAATCAATAAAATATATTTTTTAAAAAATAAAATACAATACAATAAGGAATAAATTAAATAATTAAAAAAATTATTGTTATTAAAAGGCTCCAGAAATATAAATGGCACTTATGTATGTGTGCTGAATACTAATAGTTCTTCATAAACTACTGTTTTATTTGTGATCAGTATTGTAACTTTACTCTGGTGTGTTCAGAGCTTGGCACTCTCAAACAGGAAGTTACTGTGATAACTCATAGGATCAAATGGGCTGTATTTGCATATGAGCTTTTTCCTGTATGGTTTAATTAGAACAATAACTTAAACTGAAAAGAAAGTATTATTTTGCAAAAGGAATTTAGATAGAACTTATTGGTCATCTTTATTATTTTATACTTATGACCACAGATTGCTCTTTCATGTTTTGTTCACAGTGATATGGATTAAGATCTAACAAGAAAAAAATATTAACAGCATAAATCTTTTGACATTTTTACTTTAAAGCATGAGCATAATAATCCTGTAGTTTTTTTGTCTTTTGTCTTAGGTATAATACCCTCATTATTACCATGCTTGGAATACAGAGCCCTCTTGCAAGAGCCACTTGTTATTTTTTATTTATTTTTAATGATTTTTATTGATTTCAGAGAGGAAGGGAGAGGAGGGAGAGAGAAACATCAATGATAAGAGAGAATCATTGATTGGTTGCCTCCTGCACGCCCCACACTGGGGATTGAGCTTGCAACCCAGGCATGTGCCCTTGACTGGAATCGAACCCAGGACCTTTCAGTCCACAGGCCGATGCTCTATCCACTGAGCCAAACCAGCTAGAGTGCAAAAGCAACTTTTTAAATGAAATGCCATGTTATTTAATAAAACAACTTTATTTTAGCATCTGTTGTTACATGCCTTGTTGATCAACATCAACCAAAGCTGTCATAGTTTTGAAGATGAATTAAATTAATAACACTTACATTGCTACCTTGCTTCCAGGTAATCTTTATTTGGTATTTTAAAAATGCTTAATCTATACAGATCACACAGAGGGAATATGGTATAAGATTCTCATTCCCCACCCTGACTTAGCTTGTTCTATAATAAAAATTTTTGGATGAAGTAAATTGATAATTAGTTATAAGGCATAAGTGAACAATATTAGTATGAATTCTATTTCTCTGATACAGAGCAAAATTTGTTATATTTCTTTTCAAAAAAGAATAGTTTGTAGTTGCTTTATTTTTTAATTTTATTTTTTTATTGTTGACAATATTACAAATGTCCCCCATTTCCCTCTTTACCCCTAATTTATAGTTGCTTTAAGATAACAACATTTGTTCTTAAAGAGAAGAAAGAACTAAAACTAGAGTAGCGGGGGAAAATGAATGTAGGAAAAAAATGTTATTTTTTAGAGATTACTAAGAAGGATTGCAGAGTGGTATTAATGGAGATGACTTTGACTTTGGCTCCATCTTTATCTTGAATTGTGTCTTGGGAAAGTGAATTTTCCTGTACCTTGGTTTCCTTGTTAGAAAATAGAAATAATAACACTTATCCTAGATATAAACAGGAGTATTTTGAGCATCAAATGTTATGATACAGATTAAAGCGCTTTTACATTGAGATAAAGCTGCTCAAGTTAGAAGAATGAGACATCTCATTTTAACGTCCGATAGTCCTTGGTTTTTACTTGGTCATATTTTAGCTTTAAGTTAAAATTAACCAATAAACAGACTTAAACAAAGAGAGATGAGTTTTTTTAGGAGAGAGATGGTAAATGTTTTCTGGTGTTCTTTTAGTAGTTGAGTAGTGTCAAGGTTGGCATTTCTGTGATTTTCTTGGCATTTCCCTTAGGGTTACAGAATGGCTGCTGCTATTTGCATTGAGGAAGGAAAAATGGGGAAAGGGTCAGCCCTGGCCCCCTCTGGACTTTATATCAAGAAAGCAAAAGTGTCCCTAGAAATTAACCCGCTGCCAGCTGACTTTATCTTGTTTTATTGGCTAAATTGAGGCAGCTGCTAGGGCTACTGGAAAACTGGGAAACAGGATTGCCACAATCGGCTTAGGTTAATAGCTAAATCCATTAACTAGGGTTGGACACCCCCACCCCGACAAAATCAGAGTTCTGTTGACTAGGAAGATGAGGAAGGGGTGAGGGAATAAATATCCATTGGGCAACTAAAAGAATCTGAAACAGATTTTATCTTTTTTATCTGAAAACATTTAAGATGTTTTCAGCTATTAAGTAACAAAAATCCAAATTAAGTGAAATAGCTAAACAATAAGAAAAATGTTAATATCACATATGGGGTGAACATAGGGGTAATCCAATTAGTTCATTGCTTGGCTCATCAAAGCCTTTCTCTGTTTAAACTGTGCTATTCTGCACTTAGCAATTTAGCCATAGGCTAACTCACTTCATGGCCACTGTGGCTGCTGGGACCAAGCATCATATGCAGATGTAGAAACCTCAGTTGACAGCATTCAGTGGAGGAAGAGGGTGGATGTCTTTTTTTACTTGGTTAAGAAATCTTTCCCCAGACACCTCTCCCCAGCCTCCACCTAGCCAACTTCCTTGTAATTTTATTAGGCAGAATTTATTATATGCTCTTGTGTAAACAGCACGGGGAATAGGACTACAATTGTTAGATTAGACAAACAGTTATCTCTAATGAGAGTAGAGCTGTGCTTCCCTGAGTCACATGAAGGAGGGGCAGATACTTAAACACAAAAAGGGGGTGGGAGTGGGTGCCGGCATACATTGTCAGCAAAGTAAAGGGGAGTAGAACAATTAACAGTAGCTGTTGTAGGGCAGCCTGTTTGTCTATCTAACATCATGCATCCCCTTTCTCACATGCATATACTAAAAGTGCTAGTGTTGATATGAAATATTCAGATCCTCCCCAAAGGGATTTATAACCCAGAGTTTCATTCACTTAGTACTCAGCTACTAACCCAGGGTGTTTGGATTCTATGTAGCCTTCCCCATCAGGTCCAGGTGTGACTCTTCGTGGTCCCGCAATGTATGGCTAAAAGAGAAATTACCGATGTCCAACACACCCAGTATTCAGTGATGAAGAAGAAATATGACAAGTACTATATAAGCTTCCACTCAGGAGGAAAGCTTGGAAAAAACCTTCAATAGTCACTGCTCCATAGCACATAGGTTACAGAAAACTGCTGTTGTTGACTACCTCCATCATGCAATGCACTGACATCCCACTGGTCTCTGCAACTCGCCTGTCTTTTGCCTTCTGATTCCTGTTGTAGATGTTTTATCTTAAGGATAGGAGAGAGGGAGTTTCTCTTCTTTATACAAAAGAATCCAATAGATTGCTGGGAAGATAGGAAAATTTATTTAGCCAGGAATGAAAATCTAGTAAAATCAATAATGCTGAAAGTTTCTATGAAGGACAAAAGAGCATAATATAATGTTCCTCTATATAGTCACTTGTATCTTTCAGCTATTTGTCTCTATTTACATATGTGTGTGTTTCTAAGCATGTAAGCTATTAAATATTTTTTACATGTGTTTGTTTTGAAATATAATCTATACCCCCAGCCCACCACAGGCCTCTTAATTTTATACTTTCTAAACAGAGGATTTGTGGATAGGAACTGACACAAGGCCAGTGTGCCTGAGTGTGATGGAGGGGAAGTGCTGTGAATTGATGTTGGAGAGGTACACAGGGTCCAAACCCTGGTAGGCCTCAGTAGGCTGGTGACAGAAGGTAGATTTATCTTGAGTGCATGTGAAGCCATTAATTGGTTTTAAGCAGGTGAGTGACAGGATCAGAGATCAATGTGGAGATTTTCATCTCAAAGGAGAAAAGACAAGAGTGCCATTTTAATTTTGAGATACTTAAGCAAGCCAAGGCTGGAGGGATAAATCAAGGAACCATCAACAAAAAGATTTGGGAATGGGTGCTGTTACCTAAGGAGAGAGTGCGGAAAGGCTGCTGCTAGGTATTTTTCTTTGCATCCATAACACTACTTAGTGTAGTCTTACAATTTTAAGGTATGGCTCAGTGTTTGAGCATTGACCTATGACCCAGGAGGTCACAGTTCGATTCCCAGTCAGGGCACATGCCCAGGTTGTGGGCTCAATCCCCAGTAGGGGGCATGCAGGAGGCAGCCAATCAGTGATTCTCTCTTATCATTGATGTTTCTATCTTTCTCCCACTCCCTTTCTCTCTAAAATCAATAAAAGTATATTTTTTAAGAAGAGATATAACTAAGATTTCATTGCTTTTGACACCTTCGGACAAGTCTGTGTTATTTGCTCCCTTTGTTTATATAACACCTTTGTATTCTATCACTTTTCATATTGTGTTTATGTGCCTCCCCCCTGTCTCCTTCCAAGGATCACATCAGTTTTCAGAACTCAGTGCCTTGCCTAAACATAGTATGCCTCTAATTAGTGCTTTGTTAAATAAATATTTGAGATGATACAAATCCCAGATGCAAATTATTGTAATTGGTATTTATCTCTTAAATTCAGATAGTTTTCTAGGAAGTTATGTGTGTTAATGATCATATAACTGAATTTTCAAGTGTCAGTGATATTTTAGTATAATCTTTATTATTAGTAATATTTTCATTTCCACATTATATTTAATTACTTTATGATATATTCATATGATCTGTATATAACCTCCTGATTTGAATGCGCAGGTATTGTTACCATTTTTTATAGATAAAGAACTGAGACTCAGAGAGTAACTTATCTATGAACATAATTGGGACTTGGACCTTTGACATTTTACTATTTCAGCACTATTTCTGCCACACTATACTACTTTTTCTATGTCATTAGATTTTTGAAAAATTAATAGCGTGATATATTATTTGCCATTTGTTCTCTGTAGTTCAATTGATGCTTCCTTCTGTTACTGTAATAGGATATTAAAGCTAGTTAAGAGACCTCATATGGCCTCTACTCCTAAGGACTTATTGAGGAAACGAAGCCTGGAGAAGTGACGTGGCTTATCCATGAGCACCCATGGCTGAATTGTGGTAGAACCATTGTAGACCAGAATCTGGGTCTCCTTATTTCCAGCTTTGAGGATTTCTTCCCTTTCTCCCTACTTTGCCCCCTGGCTTAATTTTATATTTGATGTTCTTAACAAAAATGAAGTCTTTAAGTTTTGTAGTAATTTAGAGGAGTAAGTGAAGGTTATTAAAACTCAAGGTATGGAATCACCATAATGTACTTAATAGCACATTCTTTTCCTGTTATCAATGTGAATATATGTATGTGTTTTTTCTTTTTCAATAGTTCATTTCACCAGTATGGTAAAATTTAAAGTCAGGTCTAATTATTAAGCCTTGAACCACTTTAACATTTATAATTAAATGCGTACCCAAGTATCTTAATATTTCCTACCTGTTTGGCTCTACATTTTATTCCCTTGAGATCAACCTTAGTGGATTTCAGCTGATTCGTGGGGAGGAAGGAATTACTGAAACATTGTTTTAGTTCTGGTCTGCTTTCAGCCTGAAAGATTCAGTACCAGATATGACGGTATCTGTCATTTGAAGCTACTAGACTCTAATGGGAGAATGACCTGCAGTTTCTGGCAGCAGAGTCAAATTTGAACCAGTGACCTTGAAGATAAAAGGCACTATATACTATGATTGGTCCCCGTGCTCTCACAGTTCCCTTACTTAAGCAATTAAAGTCAAAGCAAGATGCTTAGTAATTCCACTTCCACATAAAGGCACAAATGAAAGGCTTATTTTTTTTTAACTACTCACAGGTTTTGAATCAAAGAGTTTAAGGGAAAAAATGCCACAATTTATTTATTGGAAACAATCTCAGCCTTCCCTGAAGTTGCTTCCATGTACCTTTCTTAAAACTTATGACCATATTCTACCTGTACCACTCTTGTTTGTCCTTCACTAGCGCAAACATTGTGGCATATCATCTCTGTACATCCCAGCCTCTGGAATAGTAATTCTGTGCATAATAAATAGGTTAGTAATAAATGACTCTGACTTGTGTTTATGAAATCCAATTTTAATTAAAGACACATTAGCTACAATTACTATGATAAAAAAGCTTAGAAACGTTTCCTCATTGAAAACTAAAATCAAGGAATTAGCTTTTCAGAAATGGTTTCAATTTCATGTATGATTACAGGGCAGAATCTAGACAGTATGCTCCATGGCACTGGGATGAAATCAGACTCTGACCAGAAGAAGTCAGAAAGTGGAGTCACCTTAGCCCCGGAAGACACCCTGCCTTTTCTGAAGTGCTACTGCTCGGGCCACTGCCCCGATGATGCTGTCAACAACACGTGCATGTGAGTACTTCTCCTTACAGTTAGGAGGATGGCGTGGCATTCAGTGCTATTTTAACAATTGTTTACCTCGTCTACGGCTTTTTTTTCTTTAACTTTATGTCATGTCTCCCTAAGAGCCAAAAGCTTTTTGCTCTGTATATGGGAATATTTATTTCTGTTGATTGATGCTTACTTTATTTCTTTTTAATCTTTATTGTTGAAAGTATTACATGTGTTCCCCTTTTCCCCCCTATTAACACCCTCCAGCCTGCTCCCACCCCAGGCTTTCACCACCTAATTGTCCATGTCCATGAGTTATGCATATATGCATACAAGGTCTTTGGTTGATTACCTCCTACATTTATGGTTTCCCAACTTATATTTAAGTCTTTTATCCATTTTGAGTAACAGTGGTGAAAGGGGACATCCCTGTCTTGTTCCTGTTCTTAGGGGAAATGGTTTTAGTATGATATTCGCTGTAGGTTTGTCATATATGGCCTTTATCATGTTGAGATATGCTCCATCTATACCCACTTTGCTGAGTTTTTATAAAAACTGGGTGTTGGATTTGTTGAATGCTTTTTCTGCACCTATTGATAAGATCATGTGATTTTTGTCTTTCAGTTTGTTTATGTGATGTATCATGTTCATTGATTTGCAAATATTGTATCAGCTTGGCATCCTTAGAATGAATCCCACTTGGTTATGGTGTATGATATTTTAAATATACTAGAGGCCTGATGCACAAAATTCGTGCAAGAGTAGGCCTTTCTTCCCCTGGCTGCCGGCACCGGCTTCCCTCTGGCACCCAGAACCCGGACTTCCTTTGCAGCCCCGGCTTTGTCCAGAAGGTTGTCCAGAAGGATATCTGGTCTAATTAGCATATTACACTTTTATTATTATAGATAGATTGCTGGGTGTGATTTGCTAATAGGATACTAGGGGCCCAGTGCACGAATTCGTGCACCTTAAAAGGAACTGTGGGCCACGAGGCTGTGGTGGGCACAGGGGCAGGTCTCGGACCATCCTCCGCGCCCCCGCCTGGCCCCTCCCACTGCGGCACCTGGTTCCCTGTCCGCCAGCAGCCCTGCTCCCACATGCTGATGGCGCCACATGCTGATGGCGCCGGCCCTGCTCGTACCTCCTGACAGCGCAGGTACAAGCGGGGCTGGCGCCGTCAGCGGGTACGAGCAGCGGCTGGAGCAGCGGCTGCTGCCCTGATCGCCCCTCAGGAGCAGGGAGAGGTGGAGAAGCCCTCAGGGGCCATCAGGGCCGGCAGCAGGTGCAAGTGGGGCCAGCGCTGGCAGTGGATGCGAGCAGTGGCTCTTGCGCCCAGCAGCAGGTGCGAGCAGCGGCTTCGGCACTGGCAGCAGGTGCAAGCGCCAGGTGGGACCGCAGCGCACAAGAACAAAGAATTTTCAGTAACCACCAGAGGCTCGCCCTAATGCCAGCAGCCGGCACCCCGCCTTGGTCTGGCGCCCCCACTCACCTGCTCCACCATCCCACCGCAGCCAACGCCCGCCATGTTCCATGCTCTGCTGCCATCGCCCACCATGTTCCTCATGCGCCCCCCTGGTGGTCATTGCACATCATAGCAACCGGTTGTTCCACCATTAGGTCTATTTGCATATTAGGGTTTTATATATATAAATTGGCCTGTAATTCTCTTTCTTTGTAGTGTCTTTATCTTGTTTTGGAATTAGGATAATGCTGGCCTCATAAAAAGAACTTAGAAGTGTTCCTTCCTCTTGCATTTTTGGAGTAGTTTAAGGAGTATAGATGTTAGTGCTTCTTTGAATGTTTGGTAAAACTCCCCTGTGAAGCCATCTGGACCCGGGCTTTTGTTTGCTGGGAGTTTTTTAATTACTGCTTCTATTTCATCAGTTGTTATTGGCCTGTTCAGGTTTTTTGATTCTTCCTGATGTAGTTTTGGGAGATTGTATTTTTTTTTTAGGTATTTGTCCATTTCTTAACATTGTCCAGCTTGTTGGCATATAGTTGTTCATAGTATTTTCTTACAATCCTTTGTATTTCTGTGGTGTCGGTGGTTACCTCTCTGGTTTCGTTTTTGATGTTACTTTGTTGGGTCTTCTCTCTGTTTTAACTGTTCATCAATCTTATTTATTCCTTTCAAAGAACTAGCTCTTGGTTTCACTGATTTTTTTGTATTGTTTTTTTTAGTCTCTATGTCATTTATTTCTGCTCTGATGTTTATTATTTCCTTCCTTCTACTTACTCTGGGCTTTTGTTGTTGTTCTCTTTATAGTTCTTTACGTTGTAGGGTTAAATAGTTTATTATTAATTTTTCTTGTGGTTTTTTTTTTAGGTAGGCCTGTAGTGCTATGAACTTCCCTCTCAGGACTGCTTTTGCTGTGTCCCAGAGATTTTGGGTTGTTGTGTGTTCATTTTCATTTGTTTCCAGGAAGTTTTTGATTTCTTTATTGATCTCATTAGTGACCCATTCATTGTTTAATAACATGCTATTTAGCCTCCATGTGTTTGAATGTTTTTTTGGTGTTTTTACTGTAGTTCATTTCTAATTTCGTTCCACTGTGATCTGAGAAGATATTAGATATGATTTCAATCTTCTTCAACTTACAGAGACTTGTTTTGTGTCCTAACATGTGGTCTGTCTTTGTGAATGACCCATGAGCACTTGAGAAGACTGTATATTCTGCAGCTTTGGGGTAAAATATTCTATAAATGTCAGTAAAATCCATCTGATCCAGTGTGTCCTTTAGGGTCACTATTTCCTTGTTAATTTTTTGTCTGGAAGATCTATCCAATGAAGTCAGCGGGGTGTTAAAGTCCCCTACTAAGACTGTATTGTTGGCAATCTCTCCCTTAAAGTCCTCTAGAAGTTTTTTTCTATATTTAGGTGCTCCTATATTGGGTACATATATGTTTACCAGGGTTATATCCTCTTGTCGCATCCATCCCTTTAGTGTTATGTGATGACCTTTGTTGTCTCTTGAAATGGCCTTCATTTTGAAGTCTATTTTGTCAGATATGAATATTACAACCCCAGCTTTTTTTTTCTTTTCCATTTGCATGGAACATTTTTTTCTATCCCTTCACTCTCATCCTGTGTGAGTCTTTTGTTCTGAGGTGGGTCTCTTGTAGATAGCATATAGTTGGGTCATGTTTTCCTATACATTTAGCTATTCTATGCCTTTTGATTGGAGCATTTAATCCATTTACATTTAAGGTTATTATTAATAGGTACTTCTTTATTGCCATTTTAATTCTGTATGCCTAGCTTTCTCTCTCTCTCTTTCTCCTCATTACAGTAGTCCCTTTAGCATTTCTTACAATGTTGGCTTGGTGGTTATGAACTCCTTTAGCCTTTTGTTGTCTGGGAACCTCATTATTTCACCATCTATTTTGAATGATAGCCTTGCTGGTTATAGTAATCTTGGTTTCAGATTCTTGGTTTCCATTACCTTGAGTACTTAATCCCATTCCCTTCTGGCCTGTAAAGTTTCTGATGAGAAACCATGTGTCAGCCTTATGGGAGCTCCTTTGTAGGCAACAGTTTGCTTTTCTCTTGCTGCCTTTAAGAGTCTCTGTCTTTAATTTTTCGCAATGTAATTCTGATATGTTTGTGCATGGGCCTGTTTGGGTTCTTCTTGCTTGTGGACTCTGTATGCCTCCTGAATTTGTGTGTCTTTTTCTTTCACCAGGTTAGGGAAGTTTTTTGCTATTAATTCTTCAAACACGTTCTCTATACCTTTCTCCTTTTCTGCCTCTTCTGGCATGCCTGCTATGAGAATATTGTTAACGTTTCCTGTTGTACCATAGCTCCCTTAAGCTGTCGTCCTGTTTTTTAAGTTGTTTTTTCTTTTTGGTTCTCTGATTGAGTGATTTTTTTCAACCCTGTCTTCTAATTCACTGATCCAACCTGCAGCTTCCCCTAATCTGCTGTGTATTCCTTCCGATGTGTTCTTTATTTGTACTATGTCATTCTTTATTTCTGTTTTCATAGTTATATCTTTTCTCATGCTGTTGAACATCTTTACCATCATTATTCTGAACTGTGTATCAGATAAATTTCTTGCCTCCATTTGATTTATCTTTTCTTCTGTAGAATTCTCTTATTCTTTCATTTGGGGTTTGTTTCTTTGTCTCCTCATTTTGGGTGCCAGTCTCTATGCAGTCTCCACTTTCTGTCCTTGGTTATCAGGTTCTCTCCAGCAGGTCTTCAGTTAATTATTCAGGAAGTTTTTCTGTATTATAGTTATAATTCCAGTTTGGTCCTGGGAGCGTGTCCTTGCGGCATCTACTTACTCTGCCGCCATTTTTCAAAATTGTGTTTCTATCTGTTGTTGTTTTTTTAATTGATTTTCAGGTTCCAGATAATGTGTCCTCCTTTTGCAAGTCTCTTTCCTGTTGCCTCCTCAGGGCTGCTATATTGATGAATTTGTTGAGTAAGAATGAACCTACAGAGAATTTTTATAAGAGTGTATTTGAGCCCAACAAATGACATGTTGGGAAACAAGATCTCAAATGCTCCGTGGTGGTTACTTCCTTAGAGTAACATTGTAATATAGCTTTTTAAACGAGATAAGAAGAATGTGATTTTTATTTAACCTTTTGAGTTTATTTAATGATCTTTTTATCATAAAATTGATTCTCATAGAAAACATTGAGATTATAAAAAAACAATAACAAACAGAAAACAAAACACATGAAAATTCCACCAAAACCTTGTATTCTAAATTGGCTGAAATATTTTACAGATATGTAAGAATGATATTGTGGGTGTTAAGCCAACTCCCCAAACCAATCTGATTTATGTAGGCATTTTCGTTTTCCTGCTTAGTTTTATGTTAGCTATTCAGCACACTATACATGACCATGTAATTCTCTTTCTACATTTGAAGAATTGTTTCACTAGCCTAAAAAGAATTCCCTTAACAACTCAATCTAGTCAATTAATTGTCTCCTTTTTATGTCTTATTTTGTACTTTTCTGATAATTGGCTGCTCTTTGAATGTGACCAGATATAAAGCATAAATGTTTACAGTAAAACCTTGAAATTATATGATGGTTCTTCACATCATAAATTTGTTGTTTGTCCTCTGGTGGTGGTTGGCTGTATTGTGACAGGCTGGGTGATCTATGTCATAGGGGATTGCTCTCCACTATGTCACCACATGGCTTCTTGCCAGACTTCTTGTCCGTAGTGCCTGCCTCATGTGTGAGGGTATTTGTTAGTGGCTGAGTAACCCAGAGTGAAACCAAGTCATCGATTTTATCAGAATTTCATTCCTCACTTCACATTTTCTCCTTACAGAAAATGAAAATTCTGCAAGATTCTTTTTTATGTTATTGTTAATCCTCACCCAGAGATATTTTTTCCATTGATTTGTAGAGAGTGGAACGGAAGAGGAGAGACAGAGAGAGAGAAACATCAATGTGAGAGACACATAGGTTGGTTGCTTCCCGCACACACCCCAACGGGCCGGGGATTGAGCCTGCAACCGAGTTATGAGAATGAATCCCGTGACCCTTTAGTCTGAAGTCCAACGCTCTAACCAGTGAGCCAAACCAGCTAGGACTCTGCAAGATTATTTTATTTATTTTTTAAAATATATTTTACTGATTTCAGAGAGGAAAGGAGAGGGAGAGAGATAGAAGCATCAATGATGAGAGAGAATAATTGATTGGCTGCATTCTGCACACCCTTCCCACCAATGGGGATCGAGCCTGCAATCTGGGCATATGCCCTCACCGGAAATTGAACCATGACCTCCTGGTTCATAGGTCGACGCTCAACCACTGAGCCACGCCAGCCGGGCGTCTGCAAGATTCTTTTAAGTAGAAGCAATACACTTCTTGATAGGGACAATAAGTATAGGAGCACACAAAAAGCTTTTAGTTTTTCTTCTATCCATTAAAGTGTAAATGAACATATTAGGGCTCCAGCATATATTATTAAAATGATAAATTTTATTAAAGACAAATACATTTATGTAAATTTCTTGAAAACTCAGCTATTCAAAAGTTCTCCCCCTTTTTTTTTTTAAATCCTCACTAGAAGATATTTTTCCATTGCTTTTCAGAGAGTGGAAGGGGGAGAGGAAGGAAGGGAAAGAGAGAGAGACAGAGATAGAGACATCGATGTGAGAGAGACACATCAACTGGTTGCCTCCTGCATGCGCCCCATTGGGGCAGGAAGTGAACCTGAAACCCAGGTATATGCCCTTGACCGGGAATTGAACCCGCAACCCCGAGCCATACCAGTCAGGGCAAAAGTTCTCCCTTTTTATGTTCAGTAAAACGTGCCTCTCAGGATCATAGTCTATTCTCAAATACACTTGGTTATTGAGTCTGTTTTCATGTCATAGGAAAGTTTGTTTTTACTTATTGTTGTGTACAGTACGTGAACATTGGAAAATTTTATGGGTTAAAAAAAGTTATTTTTAAGTATATTTTAAAAAATTATGATGGTTTACTTTATCAAATTTTACAGATCAGCTCTCTGTACTCACATCACTGTATTAGCAAAGAGAAGTTCCATAATGATGCCTATGTGGAGCACTTGTTTAAAAAGTGCACCTTTTCTACTTGACATAGGGCTCTTATTGGACCTTTAGGTTTTAATTCAGATGCGATAACTTTCATTTGCCTTAAAGCCCTTCTTGTTTGCCAATAAATCCCAACAAGGTACTCAAGGCTGTCAGTAGCTGGTCACATTCAAGCACATATTCATTAGTACTTGCTGATACTAAGTTATGTTTTGGGGGGGTTTTCCGTTTCTTAGAGGTTTTTTTTTTTTCTTTTAGAACTAATGGGCATTGCTTTGCCATCATAGAAGAAGATGACCAGGGAGAAACCACATTAGCTTCAGGATGTATGAAATATGAAGGATCTGATTTTCAGTGCAAGGTAAGATCTCATTTGGGGCCCATGAAATAAAGAAGGGAGGGGCCCATAGAAAGTACCAACTCCCTCAGAGAGGTGCCGTCTGCACAGTGCTTTATGTTCTTTAAGCAGATATATTTGGGAAGCTTAGCTCTTGCTGCACGTGACATGATTGTGGTAATTGAGGTTCCCAAGAACTTAAAAAAAGTTTTAAATCATCCTCTTTTTAAATGAGGCTGCAAAAAAATGACACTGTCACACTTATTTGTGGATTGAAAAATTGAAGACTGTAAGGTGATGGGCACTAACCTTTGTATCACTCTGAGACAACTTAGAAACGGTAAGTCCTAGTGAGGAGATCTCACTGGATTATTTTAACAGCAGCAGCGAGGGGGCCAAGTAATGATTCTCTCTCATCGTTGATGTTTCTATCTCTTTCTCCCTCTTCCTTCCTCTCCAAAATCAATAAAAATATATTTTAAAAATAAAAATAAAAACCATTTTACAGTCTTCACTACTATAAACTATTTCAGCACAAATTCTAATTTTTAACGATTTTTTTTTTTGGTACATAAAATGTTCAGGTGCTTTTCACTCACTGAATTAGAAGTTATATTTTAATGAATATTTAATATTTTTCGTTCTCAACTTAGTATATCAAATTATTTCTAATTTATCATTATTCTTCCTCTAGGATTCACCAAAAGCCCAGCTTCGCCGGACAATAGAATGTTGTCGGACCAATTTATGTAACCAGTATTTACAACCTACACTGCCCCCTGTTGTTATAGGTAAGTTAGTAAAGAAAAGCAGGATTACAATTTTCAGTAAAATATTTTCTCTGCTTTTAACAATATGCAAATTTTCTAGAATTTAACACTACAAGTGATTTTTTTTCTTTTAATAGATGTGAGAAAAAGACAATGTGTTTATTCATTGTTTGCTTTCACTGGCAGGTCCGTTTCTGGATGGCAGCATTCGATGGCTGGTGGTGCTCATTTCTATGGCTATCTGCATAATTGCTATGATCATCTTCTCCAGCTGCTTTTGTTACAAGTAAGATGATAATTATTTTGATGCAAAATATTTTGTTGAATAGTAGGTATAAATAGTTGTTCTTAAAGCCAGTGGGCAGAAATCGTCAATTGCTAACTGTAATTTAGAAGCCATTCCTTGTCTTCTCTGTTTGTCTCCTTAAATTAACTGTATTATACTTTTCTTTTTTGTCGTTGTTAATCCTTACCAGAAGGCTTTCCAGAGAGAGTGGAAGGGAGAGAGGAGAGACAAAGAGAGAGAAACATCAATGTGAGAGAATCTCATCGATTGGTTGCCTCCAGCACACACTCTGAATGAGGCCAGGGATCGAGCCCACAACCAAGGTAAGTGCCCTTGACCTGAATTGAACCCGAGACCCTCAGTCCACGGGCCAGTGCTGTATCCACTGAGCCAGAGCACTTTTTTTAAGGTAAAAGAGGATCTCACTACCAATCATTTAATTAGACATAACTTTATACTTGTTATGTTCATGAGTAGTTATGATTTTCTTATTTATGGAATATTCAACTTTCTTATATCTGAATGGTTTTTTTTGGTTTTTTTTTAATATATTTTTTATTGATTTTTCACAGAGAGGAAGGGAGAGGGATAGAGAGTTAGAAACATCAATGAGAGAGAAACATCGATCAACTGCCTCCTGCACACTCCCCACTGGGGACGCGCCCGCAACCAAGGTACATGCCCTACACCGGAATCAAACCTGGGACCCTTGAGTCCGCAGGCCGACGCTTTATCCACTGAGCCAAACCGGCCAGGGCATTATATCTGAATGTTTAAACCCAGTTCCACGAAACCAGTGATATTATTATTCTTTAGCTATTTGGTGCTTAAGAATTGTTTTACTCAGTCATGATTTCAAAAGAAGTTGCTAAAAGAGAAGAGTAATAACAGGAAGGCATGAACTTCAAAAATGAAACATTATCTTACTGACATATAAATTCAGAGGGATTAGTGGAACAGGTTATTAAACCCATAAATAGATACAAGTATATAAGGAAATTTAGTATAAAGGCAACATTTTGGATCGTTAAGGAAAAGATGGATTAATAAGTAGACTTGGGAGTAGCTATGTTGGGGGGAAAGTGAAGTTGAATCATTTCCCTACATGGAAATAAATTTTAATTAGATTGGAGCTAGATATATACAAATGAAATGATTAAAGTAAGAGGACAAACCATGGAGGAATTTTAAAAAATAATCTCAGAGGTTGAAGACCTTTGTGAGTCTGACACAAAATGAAGAAACAAACAATAAAATCCTTAGGCCATGGCAGGGGAGCTCAGTTGGTTAGAGCATCGTCCAGTCTCAATACACCAAGGTTGGGGGCACATACAAAAATCAACCAATGAATGCATAAATAAGTGGAACAACAAATCAATGTCTCTCTCTCCCTCCCTCTCTCCCCCTTCCTTCCCCTTCCACTCTCTGTAATATCAGTAAATTAAAAAAAAAAAATTAAGACCTTAAAATTAAAAAAGAAAATATTGATGGTGTCAACTACCCAAAAATAAAACTTTATTATGTGGCAGAAATCACCATAAACGATCAGAAGACGACTATCAGTGAAAAACATTGGCAGCTCATATTTCAAAGAATGGATTTCTCAGATATAAAGAACTCTATAAGTCAGAAAGAAAAAACATCTAGCAAGTCCTTGGGAAAATAGGCCACAAAGATGAACATATGATTTATCCAAAAAGAAATACATGTGGCTCTTAAAATTAAAAGATGACTGAAGAATGCCCATAATATGAAAAATATAAATTAAAATCATACTGAGATTGTTTTTCACCTATTATACTGGCAAGGATTTAAACGTTTGCTAGTCGGTCTTTGAGATAAGAGGCAGCTTGGGCCTACTACTTATTTACTTTTGCTCCCCCGACCCAACAGCAATAGCTTTTAACTTCTTTGTCCAACTAGTACAAGGAGCACGGGAAGTAACAGCAAAATCTTTGGGACCTATGAAACATGTGGATGAATAGTGACTGCAGACATAAAATATTGTAATCCCAGGCTAGAAATTGATAGCCAGGAAGCAGCCAGTTTATACTATAGAATTCCCCAAGAAGCTCAGGAATTGGTAATCCCAATTACCTGGAAGTGAAGCAGAGTGGCAGTAAAACCAAGAAAATTACTTAAAAGTCATTTTAGAAAGTCAGAGGCTGTGTTGGCTATCTAATACTGCATGAAGAAATCACTCCTAGCCCTAGCTGATTTGGCTCAGTAGATAGAGCATCAAACCATGGACTGAAGAGTCCTGGGTTCATTTCTGGTTAAGGCATACATATACCTCCGTTGCAGACTCAGTCCCGGCCTTGGTTGGGCTGTGTGCAGGAGGCAACCAATGGATGTCTCTCACATCGATGTTTTTCTGTCTGTCTGTCTGTCTCTCAGTCTCCCCCCCTCTCTTCCACTCTCTAAGAATCAATGGGAAAATATCCTCCCGTGAGGATCAACAACAAAAGCAATCACTCCTAAACTTGTTGGCTCACAACAGCAGTTATTATCCCTCACTGTTTCTGTGGGTCAGGAATTGCGTGACTTATCTGGTTGGTTCAGGATCCCACCTGAAGGCTGGGCTGGAGCTGGTAGAGCACCTCCCAAGGTAGCTCACCTCCAAGGCACAGAAGTCGTTCCTCTCTGGGAGCCTCTGCACAGAACTGCATGAGTCCTCGCAGCTGCCTCAGAGGCCTGCCTCCCTGCAGAGGGAGTGACCCGAGACCATGGAGGAAGGCAGTGCTGTTCATGATACAGACCAGCGATTTTCCACGGGGCGCCGCAAGAATGTTTAAAACGCAGTACCTGACCATTTAGTTAGGCAAGGACCTCTTTTCTCTTAAGTTGTCAAATTGGAAATTGACAGCAGCCAACACAACAATAGCCATTTGGTGTGAATGAATCAGACTTATTGTTCCAAGCCAGCTCAGCCAAGGGTTCGAAAGCCTGAGTGAGGGTGGCAAATGGATGAAGAAATGACAAAGAGAATAAGCTGGGTCTAGGTCAGTGATGGTGAACCTATGACACGCGTGTCAGAGGTGACACACGAACTCATTTTTTTGGTTGATTTTTCTTTGTTAAATGGCATTTAAATATATAAAATAAATATCAAAAATATGTCTTTGTTTTACTATGGTTGCAAATATAAAAAAAATTTCTATATGTGACACGGCACCAGAGTTAAGTTAGGGTTTTTCAAAATGCTGACACGCCGAGCTCAAAAGGTTCGCCATCACTGGTCTAGGTGGATCTTCGTGTGCCTGGCTGAGGCCACAGAGAGAGATCCAGAGGCAAGCTGAGCCTTTATTTTATAGCCAGAGATAAAGATTAACAAGGTAGTGGTCACCATAGTTACAATGTTCTTGTAAGTTTCACTTGTTTTGGCAGCCCATTAGCTTCCCAGATAAGATCTAGGGAGGTCATAAGGTCAAGCCTAATTATGCTAAGAGGACTGTGCCCACTTAGCTGGGACTTGTTTGTGGCTTTGCTAACAGGTCAGTCAAAGGCTTAACCCTATTGCCACGCCCTACAACTTCTATCAAATTTTTTTTCATATCAGCAAAAAATGTAACATTTTTTGGTGTGCCACAGAATTTTAGTAATTAGTTTATGCACCATGAGATGGAAACGGTTGGAAATCGCTGGTCTTGACGCAGAAGTCCATCCTCACTTCTGCCATGTCCTGCTGGTCCCTGGGCTAGGCCTGTGCACTGTGGAGGGAAGTCAGCATGGCAGGCGTCCCGGGTGAGGCTCTTCACAGGCCTCAGACGTCGAGCTCCCTGCTCCTGTTCTGAATAACTCGTGACTTCCCCTACTATCTCCCCAACAGAAGGCTAGAAGTGTATTCTCCGAAAGAACAAAAGTAAGGTTCTCAACTGTGGAACCCTGCTATGGAGGGTGAGGTATTATAGTGAAAACACGGAGGTCACGTGAACATTTTGTACTGATTAGTGGGCCCTCAACCCTCCCAGAACCCCATCACCAGGCTTGTTCCCACAAGACAACAGATGGGAAGATTCTTCTCAGGGAAATCCATGTAGCCCAGGAGAAAACCTAGCCATGCTGACATGAGCGTCCCATGAAGTGGCCCGGGCAGGTGACCATCCAGGGAGGCCTGTGGTCAGTGAGGCCCTCACACTAAGCTGCCCCTTGGGCAGCGAAGGACTTTGGTCCCTGAGAAGCAGGGAACAAGCGAGGTGAGTGATGGTTGCCCGGCATCCGGCATGAGAGCTCTGGCTGTAGGACACGGGAGAAGCCCTAGCAGCCCTGCAGTCTGGATGGAGGGATAGCAGAGAGGTGGGTAGCACAGCTTGGAGCTCACAGCACAGAGCTGGAGAGGAGAGCCTTGCAGAGAGGCTGGAGATCCGCAGAAGGTTCCTGTCAAGTATGCAGCCGAGTCTTCATCAGCGAGTACGGATGAGGAAACGATGCAAGGCTGGGAATCGGGTCTGTCCCACCAGCTCTGAGGCTTGAAAACCCACAGTTCCCCAGGCACTGGTTCGAGTCCTGAGAGGGTCTGGCCTCAGTATTGGGGAGTAAGTAGACCTACACTGAACATGGCTCTGGTCCTACCTCAGAAACAAGACCCCAAAGGATCGGGCCTTTTTCAGATAGCTACATTCTCAAATGAAGCCCAAGAGCATGTGCACAGTTACAGAAATGGCCAGCACCCAACAAGTAAAACCCAGTATCTGCTACTCAATCAAAGATGACCAGGCATGCAAAAAGCGGGGAATACAACCTAGAATGAGAGGACATTAGCAGTCAGTACCACTGACCCAAAGTTTAGGATTAGCAGACAAGGGCATTAAAACAGTTATTATAATTACATTTAGAGACATAAAAGATATTTTAAAAGATCCAACTCAAACTTCAGGAAATGAACTCTATTATAGTACCTGGGATGAATTGTATACTGGGTGAGATTAATGGCAATGAGCATGAAGACAACAATAGAAATTAACAAACATTTAAAAAGAACTCCAGCCCTGACCTGTGTG